CATTAAAGTATAAACTGAATTGTCAACAAATAAATAAATAAATAAATAAATAAAATGAAAATGTTTATGCACTTCCACTTCTAGGCATTCATCCTATAGATATAAGAACTATACATAAAAAAATAAAAGAGCTATACATAAACATTTCTTTTTCTCTCTTTTAAAAAAAGATACTTTATTCATTTTCTACAGACAAGAAGGGAAAGGGATAGAGAGTTAGAAACATCTATGAGAGAGAAACATCAATAAGCTGCTTCCTGTACACCTCCTACTGGGGATGTGCCCGCATCCAAAGCACATGCCCTTGACTGGAACAGAACCTGGGACCTTCAGTTCGAAGGCCGACACTCAAGCCACTGAGCCAAACCGGTTAGGGCTACATAAACATTTCTTAACCAGAATGTTCATTGCAGCATTGCTAATGAAAATAAACACAACTTAATTATCCAACAAGTTATACTTTAATCATTAAAAATATTAATTTGAGATATTTAACAGGCGAAGAGCCTTAAAATACACTATGTAAATGGAAGACAGCAGTTATTTTTTGTGATCCCAGAGGGCAGGGCTAGGAACTACCACTGGAAATTACAGAAAGACAGAGTTTGGCTCAATGTAAAGAACAACTTTCTAACAATTTTCTAATCAATGAATCTCCTATTTCATGAGGTAATGAGTTATGTACTATTAGAACTCTAAGCAAAGGCTGAATGGTCACTTGGCAAAGATACACAGAACAGAATTGAGTGTTAGGAGCCAGCAAACACATCACCTTTCTTAAACCTGCCACAGAGGGAAGTGCTACCAGGGACGCAGAGACCACCCCAAAAGTTGGCACCGAGGAGCTGGGCTATAAATAGCCTCGCTCGGTTGTCCTTTCTGGTCTCCCGAAGCAACAAACAAAAAAAGGCCCATCAACAAAACAAATCTGCCTTCCCTGCTCCTCCAGAATCCCTCCGCCTTTGGGGTTCTACTCACTTCCCTGGGAAGAAAGAAGTGCAGGCCCCCAGTTCACCCGAAAGGGGCCAGCTCCAGCAAAACCCACAGCGGAGGCCCGAAACCCAGCTGGACCCTGGAGGGAAGAAATGGAGGCTTCTGCATCATGCATTCCTCAACAGATAGTTACAGGGTGCGAACTCCATGCCGAGGATCCTAAGGGCTAGAGTAACAGCAATGAGGGAAGCAGCCCTGTTCTGTCTTCAGGGAGTTTGCCACCCAGGAGTATAGAGAGAACAGCAGCATGGACAGTGACAGCTGACATTTCCTTCAGGCTGACTCCTCATGTGAGTGCGCTGTTATTCCATTTCACAGATGGGAAAAGTCTGGCTTAGGGAAGTAATATTCCCAGGAAGGCAGAGGCAAAACCTTAAGTCACCTCTGTTCAGCTTCAGAGGCCGAGTCTGGGCCCACTGTCTCATTTCTGGGAAGATGAAACAGAAATGTGTGTAGACAAAAAGGGGCCACATGCTAACCTGACTACCTCAGGGAAGGCCTACGTGGCAGCCTTGCAAACTCAGAGACCTACAGTAAACACAAGAATGGTCTGGAATTAAAACTTTTTAAATTAAAAAGCAGTCTATAGTGGGTAGTCATATCCTAGGCTGGTATCCTCCCTGACAAAGATCAACTATAATCTTAATCGAGCCTATTGTCTTTTTCATCTATGGAATATCAGGGTAACTTGTAACTTCCCTTTTTTCTAGACTCCTCAGGGCACAACCAATGCATCAGGGCGCCAGGGCAGAGACCACAAATTCCCTCATTGGTATTGTCATGGTGTTAATTGCTGACTGTTAACTATCCTGTACCTACCTATGTAAAAGAAGCACGTGCCTATCATTTTACTTTTACCCAATTCCAGAGGTTTCCCCTGCTTTGCTTTCTGCCACCTCCCTAATTTATCACCAATAGTTTTCATGTAACCCACTTACATCTCCTCCTTTGATGGTAATTTATAAAAATAGGTGGAAAACTGTCATTCTCTGGAGCATTATCTTAATACTGATTGAGATGCTGCTTCCTGGCAATTGTTGACAGACTGGCTCAAATAAACTCACAAAAATTCTTAAAAAAAAGAAAAAAAAAATGTGCCCAGCTGGCATGGCTCAGTGGTTGAGTATCAACATTTGAACCAGGAGGTTCAATTCCTGGTCAGAATACATGCCCAGGTTGTGGGCTTAATCTCCAGTGTGGGACATGTAGGAGGCAGCCAATCAATGATTCTCTCTCATCATTGATGTTTCTATTTCTCTCTCCCTCTCCCTCTCCCTTCCGCTCTGAAATCAACAAAAAAAATTTTTTTAAAGTAATTTTCACATAAGCTAAGTAAGCCTCGTTATTATCCCCATTTTATAAATGAGAAAACTAGGCTTTTACTGGTTCAAAGTCACTCAATCTGTAAGTAATGGTGCTAGATATGAACCCGGAAATTAACTTTAGACTAGACTTTATTCTCCCAATTACTAAAATATTCTGCCTTTCCTCAGTTATTCGAGCTGTTTCTTTTTTTAATATATATTTTTATTGATTTCAGAGAGGAAGGGAGAGGGAAAGAAACATCAATGTTGAGAATCACTGATCGGTTGCTTCCTGTACACTCCTTACTGGGGATTGAGCCCCAGCATATGCCCTTGACTGGAACTGAACCTGGTACCCTTCAGACACTCTATCCACTGAGCCAAACTGGCTAGGGCTATTCTAGCTGCTTCTTATGTGATATAGATTGTTGTGATAAAATGGGAGAGACTGCTGAATGAGGGAAGATATTAGAAAAGATGCTATAAAATTAGCATTGCTCATTGCTTTCCTTGTGACATTTTTTAAAAATGCCCCAATTGAGAAAGGAAACTGTATAACTGCATATATCAGTGCCAACTATCTATTATATAAAAGAATAAGTCACCTCATGAAAGAAAAAACAATGATCAATGCCCGAACCGGTTTGGCTCAGTGGATAGAACACTGGCCTGCAGACTGAAGGATCCCAGGTTTGATTCTGGTCAAGGGCACATGCCTAGGTTGTGGGCTCGATCCCCAGTGGGAAGTGTGCAGGAGGCAGCCAATCAATGATTCTTTCTCATCATTGATGTTTCTATTTTTTTCTCCCTCTCCCTTATTCTCTGAAATTGATAAAAAATATTTTTAATTGATTTTATTGATTTTTTTACAGAGAGGAAGGGAGAGGAATAAAAAGCTAGAAACATCGATGAGAGAGAAACATCGATCAGCTGCCTCCTGCACAAACTCTACCAGGGATGTGCCCGCAACCAAGGATCAAACCTGGGACTTTTCAGTCCACAGGCTGACACTCTATCCACTGAGCCAAACCGGTTTTGGCAATAAAAAATATTTTTAAAAAATTATCAAGCCTCTTCCACAGAGGCTGAATATAAACAAATTTTTTTTTTAATCTGCCCCCCCAGTGACTAGGTGTGTAGGGGGGGATTGAGGGGGAGGGAGGGGAGTGTCCCCAGTTCCATCAGACCTTTAAAATAGTTCAACTAAAGGGATCTCACAAACCAAAGGGCTGAGCAATCAGTATTAGTATTTGATTGTTTAATAAAATCTTTGAGAAAAAAATAAAAGGACCTGGCCCTGGCTAGTGTTTCTAAATGGTTAGAGCATTAGCCCATGCATCTTAGGGTCATGGGTTCGATTACTGGTCAAGGTAGGTACCTGGGTTGCAGGTTTGATCCCCAGCCTTGTTGGGACACATGCAGAAGGCAACCAATTGATGTCTCTTTCTCACATGGATGTTTCTCTCTCTTCACCTTCCCCCTTCCTCCCTTCCATTTTTTCTAAATATCAATGGAAAAAATATCCTCTAGTGAGTATTAACATAAATGAACAAACTAATTAATTAAAATGACCTGGAATAAAAAAATTCTTTTGACTGATGTCTCAACAGTTCTAAACCTTTCATTCATAGCCTTATAAAACAAAAAAAGAAAAACTCACTAATCATTCAAGATTTGTCAAAGAAAAGGGAGTCTCCCTCTGATCTTTGGCCAAAAATTCTTCTAAAACCCTCTATAGTAATCTTAGAGTAACTGAACTATCTTCTCTGTGGAGCCTACCAAGAGCATCCTCCTCCTCCCATCTTCCAACTCTCCCCAACACAAACAGAAGGGCGCTTTCCTTGCTCCTACTACACTTTATACATAATTATATTAGAGCACTAATCAACATTGCAGTATAATTATCTTTTTCTTCTCTAGGCTATTAATTCCAAGAGGGCCTAGTCTCTACCTCACTTCTCTTTAAGTTTACTATTCCTAATCTTCAAAATCAGCACCAGTGAGAGTTCTCGAGATAGGTTTGCTAAATAGGGAAAGACACAAAGATGACAAAATACAGAGTGATCTTTTATGAGAAGAAATTATTTTGTAAGATCCCTAACTTCTGCATCTTCAGTGAAGCCCAGTTTCCCTTTAGGAGTTTTTTCCCCCCCCATCAGCCAGTAGTTCAGGATAAATGGGAGCTAGAGAAAAAGTCTAGCTAGCCATTTTGGTTTGCAATAGGTTTCAATGAACAAGGGATGACTCAAAGGATCAGGAAGGTAGTCAGGGCCTTTCAAGAGTTTTTATTTAGATGGCAAAGATACAGGATGTAATTTGAAATGCCTGCTTTTTTTACGTTTAAATGCTAAAGACAAGAGGGAAATAATTCCAAATAAAAATCAATGATTACTAAGCAGTACCTGCTCATTCACTTCTACTGTTTTTCAGACAAAAAACAAACCTCTGGCAAAAAAGTATAGGTCTGGTTACACCCTTCAACCATGGGGAACGTACTTTTCATGTACTGATATGAGTCTCTTTGGACCCCTCGCTAAGGTTAGCTCAGCCACTTTCTAGATAATATGGTTAGGCAATCCTTTGAAGTGAAAATTTTGGGGTATGGAAGTTATCTTTCTCAACAATTTGAGAAAATTAAGTGATATTATACTGGAAAAACAGTACCATCACATCTGTACATGCCATTTTTGGTTACCATGTTACCTTGGTTAGAATCCACTGAGTCTTTTATATGAGCAAAAACACTCCTGACATAAGTTTGCTTCTTCCGTTCTAGATCTGATTGTGAAAACGGTGAAACATTAGTCCTGGAACAAAGCAAACCAGAAGGAAAAATAGTCCATTAGAATTATGAGTATAGTGTTTTATTGACAGAAGATATATATTGCTGATCAATCAGAACAACTAAATTTCATAAGCAAAATACTCTCTAAGATTCAGTGACATAAGATAGTTTTAGGCATGTGAAGCTGAAATCAAGTATGGAGTTGAGAGAAAAAAGAAGAGATCAACAATCTCCTGTTAACAATGCACAGCAAAGTGATGACATCTTAGTTCCTAGGAAAAAAAGCATTTGTTGAGTAATTCAAGGTCAGGAAATAGCTAACTTCATAGAGCTACAGAAAAACTGAATGTGATAAACAGAAAAGAACCAGCTGGATTTGGCAATTAAAAAAATTGGTGACCTTGGCAAGAACATCTGGCCCTTACTCATACTGACTCTGCACTATACTGAGGAGTCTGTGGATGAGAATATTGTGATAGTCAAGTTATTACGGTTCCAAGAAGCCTGACTTATATTTTCTGGTATAATTTCCAATGTGAACAATTCAGTATGCTTCCCTCAAATTATGCAAACAAAATAAAAAGAAAAACAGAAAAGGGACTTTAGCCTTATTTTTAATATTTAAAATTTCAAAAGCAGAATACCTATACAAATGCACATGGATACATTTACAATTTTTCAAATATCATTGTAAGGAAGTCAATGTGACCCAATCTAAGAAACAGCTTTGGCCAAAACCGGTTTAGCTCAGTGGATAGAGCGTCGGCCCTCGGACTGAAGGGTCCCGGGTTCAATTCCGGTCAAGGGCATGTACCTTGGCTGTGGGCACATCCCCGGTAGGAGGTGTGCAAGAGGCAGCTGGTCGATGTTGCTCTCTCATTGACGTTTCTATCTCTCTATCCCTCTTCCTTCCTCTCTGTAAAAATTCAATAAAATATATATATTTTAAAAAATAAATAAAATAAATAAATAACAGCTTTGCTAATTAAAAAGGCCCATGTGGAGACACTGCCATCTCCTGGCAATAAGAGCAAAGATTGAAAAGGTTGACCCAAATCTGCAGTCTCTATAAGAATTTTTCCCCAAGACAGTTGTAAATGATTTTCTACAGTTATATTTAAACATTCTTGTTAAAAATTATTCTAACCTCCTAACATATCTGTGACCAGGCTTGCCCATACACAGGAAAAGGAATCTTACATTTATATAGTGCTTTCACTAATATGTCTTTTTCTAGTCTTCAAAATTATCTTGTGAGGTAGTGGAAAGGCATCATTGGCCTCACTTTAATGACATAACTAGAGGCCCAGTCCAATAAATTCGTTGGGGGTCGGGGAGAGTTCCCCTCAGCCTAGCCTGCAACCTCTCCAATCCGGGACCTTTCAGGGGGATGTACGGGCATCAGGCCTAAACTGGCAGTGAGACATTCCCTCTCACAATCCAGGACCATTGGCTCCTAACTGCTCACCTACCTGCTAGCCTGATATCCCCTAACCACTTCTGCCTGCTGGCCTGGTCACCCCTCACTGACCCCCTGCCAGCCTGGTTGCCTCTCATTGTCCCCCCTACCTCTCACTAACTCCCTTGCCAGCCTGGTTACCCCTCACTGCCCCCTCTACCAACCTGGTTGCCTCCAACTTCCCCCCGTGATGGCCTAGTCACCCCACACAGCCTGCTGTTCAATCATTTGGTCGTCCCTCACTAACCCACTTGCAAGCCTTGTCGCCCCACACAGCCTGATGTTCAGTCGTTACTGTGAGGGTATCCCAACCAATTTGCATATTACCCTTTTATAATATTAGTATAGATGAGTCAGAGATCATTTGACTTGCCCAACATCACACTAATAGGTGGTGCTAGAACTTTAAGTATGCTTACTCAGGTTTTTTCCCCCCAACACTACAGGGAAACTGAGGAAGAAACCAGAATATTTCATTACACTATTACCTTGCTTTGGTTTGCAGAACAGGGATGACTTTGCCTATTCTCTCAGGAACTTTCAGCTTCCCAGAATCCTTGTCAAGAACATCCTTTTTTTCAGAGCAAAAGAAATGCAGAAGGAAAGATGGTTCTTAGTAATAGGAAAATAACTTAGTATACCATTTATGCAAATGCCCTTAAACTAAAGGCTTCAGAGGCATATCCTTATCCCACTGTGTACCAGGCACTATAATAGCTGCTTTAAATGAGATAGTGACTGCAATCTTAAGTGGGGGGAAGGAGGCTTAGAACCCTAAGCAGCAGGGATTATTAAACCCATTTGGAGGAAAAGGAATCAGGCTCAAAGAGGTTAAGTAAATTGCCCAAGATTTTTCAACTCTTCTGAGGCTGATTTAGAGCTGGTACTATAATACATTTAATAAAGCAATACTAGAGGCCCTATGCGCAAAATTCATGCAAGAGTAGGCCTTCCTTCCCCCGGCTGCCAGCACCGGCTTCCCTCTGGCACCCGGGCTTCCCTCTGGCACCCGGGCTTCCCTCCAGCTGCTGGTAGGCACCCGGGACCTGGGCTTCCCTTGCAGCCCTGGCTTCGTCTAGAAGGATGTCGGGTCTAATTAGTATAATATATTATGCTTTTATTATCATAGATAACCAAAGCTTAGGCTGAAGCCCAAAGAGAGGAAAAATAATACTAACATAACCATCAACTTAGTAATTATCTAATAAATGGTAATTTAATATCATGAATGTTAATGCAAATACACAATTACCCTTTACTCTATCATGAAATATTTTTAAAAATGTATTTTATTGATTTTTTTACAGAGAGGAAGGGAGAGAAATAGAGAGTCAGAAACATCGACGAGAGAGTGTCATCGATCAGCCACCTCCTCCATGCCCCCTACTGGGGATGTGTCCGCAACCAAGGTACATGCCCTTGACCGGAATCGAACCCAGGACCCTTCAGTCCGCAGACTGACGCTGTATCCACTGAGCCAAACCGGTTTCGGCTATCATGAAATATTATTCACTCCTATTTTTAAATAAGAAACATGAGGGCTCAGCCATTGTGGCTCAGTGATTGAGCATTGACCTATGAACCAGGAAGTCACGGTTCAATTCCTGTTAAGGGCACATGCCCAGGTTGCAGGCTCAATCCCCAGTGTCGGGTGTGCAGGAAGGAGGCAGCCAATCAATGAGTCTCTCTCTTCATTGATGTTTCTATCTCTCTCCCTTCCTTTCTGAAATCAATAAAAATATAAAAATAAAAAGAAATGTGAGGGAACAGAGAGGCTACCTAATCTGTCCAAGGTCATGGTATTAGGATTCAAACCACAATTTGGCCAAAACCGGTTTGGCTCAATGGATAAGAGCATAAGCCTGCGGACTGAAAGGTCCCGGGTTCGATTCCAGTCAAAGGCATGTACCTTGGTTGCAGGCACATCCCCAGGAGGGGGTGTGCAGGAGGTAGCTGATCAATGATTCTCTCTCATCGATGTTTCTAACTCTCTATCCCTCTCTCTTCCTCTCTGTAAAAAAAAACACAAAAAAACAACAACACAATTTGTCTGAATACAGTTCTATTGCTATACAGCTTCTAATGAAAATAATTTTATTTTTCTCTTCATCTTGAACAAATATACTTACTTTGTTTGATGAATTGGAAACAATTGGAAACTTATTTTCACAACTTGATTTATGTGATCCATTTCTCCAGGATGACCCTAAATGAGGAGTCTCTGAATGGTCCAAGATCTGAGTGATTACAGATGTAGGTTTCTTACTATCAGGCATACTTTTTCCAGGGACAGTTTGTTGAAAGTTATTACTTGAAGGAGAAGGGAGCAAGGGCCCATCCAAGGAAGAGTTATTGGGGATGATCCCCTCAGAATTAGTGCAAAGTCTGATCTTATTTGGGCTAAGACCATCTTCTCTCATCCCTTCCCCAAGGGAGGAGCGTTTTTCAATATCTTTGGATGTATCAGTCTTGTCCTTATTATGCACAATATCACAAGTTGTTGGATTAAATGGTGCAACAACTGTTAATTTTACAAGATTCTTTTCTGGTGCAAAGGGTCTGTTTAATGGTTTCGTAGGAGTTGGTCCCTGGCCAACTGATGTACTCTGAGGTGATTTGAAGAGGCCAGGACTCTCAGCTACTGGTACACGGCTGACTAATGAATGTTCCTCATCCTCATCTGATAGATCATCATCCCGCAAGTACTTCTCTATCTCTTCCTCCGTGAAGCTGAAATGGCCATCATCTTCTTCTCCTTCACTCAGGTCCAGCAAGGAGTCATCCAATATATCCTCATCCAAGGGACCCCTAGAGGGCACTAGTGGGCACATCATATCTGAAGAAGTAAGAGGCAGATTCACTGAGGAACAGGAAATACTCTTTATACCAATTCCAACTGCTCTCTAGAGTAATAGTGTCCTCACATTTCAAATTTTTAACACTGTGACTTGTAACGTGGAAAACAATTTTAAGATATCTAACTTTATCAGAATCATGGAAATACATATTAGAACGATGATACCTTTTTCCCTATAAATATGGTAAAAATTAAGACATAATAATCCAGGTTAGTGTGGATGTGCGAAAAAGCACTCTCATACTCTGTCAGTGAGAGTGTAAGTTAGCACAATATTTTGTGGATAGTATCTTGGCAATACCAATTTACCCAGATATTTCACTTCTGGAAGTTTATTCTACAGAAATACCTATACAAATGCACATGAATACATTTACAAAGATATCCAAAGCATCATTACTCAAAATACCTAAATAGTGAACAATCTACGTATCCATCACCAGAAGATCAGTTAAATAAAATTATGGTATATTCATGCTGTGTATATTTTAAACTACAGTAGTCTCCCCTTATCTGCAGTTTTGCTTTCCACAGTTGCAGTTACCACAGTTTCAGACACGAGGTCAAGCGAGGTTCTAAATTATTAAATGGAAACTCCCGAAATAATTCTTCTTTTGTTAAAGTATATTTTTACTGATTTCAGAGAGGAAAGGAGAAGCAGAGAGATAGAAACTTCAGTAAGGGAGAACCATTGATTGGCTGCTTCCTATCCGGGGTTGAGCCCACAACTTGGGCATGTGCCCTTGACGGGAATCAAACCTGGGACCCTTTAGTCCACAGGCCGATGCTCTATCCACTGCACCAAACCAGTTAGGGCCTGAAAAATTCTTAAGTTTTGAGTAGTCTGATGAAATCTTGTGCCTTCCCATTCTGATTTGTCCGGAACATAAATTATACCTTTGTCCAGCATATCCACACTCTTTATGCTACTGTTCATTAGTCACTTAGTAGGTTATTGGAAGGACTGTCATGATATTTCAGTGCTTATGTTCAAATAAACCTTATTTTATTTAATAATGGCCCCAAAGAGCAAGAGTAGAATTGCTGGCAATTCATATATGCCAAAGAGAAGCTGTAAAGTACTTCCCATGAAGTGACAACATATGCATAAAAGGGGAAAAAACAGTATATATAAGATTCAGTAGTATCTGCGGTTTCAGGCATCCACTGGGAGTTTTGGAACATATCCCCTGCAGACAAATGGGGACTACTGTATTTAAAAAGATAATGTGAGCCAAAATCAGTTTGGCTCAGTGGATAGAGCGTTGGTCTGCAGACTGAAAGGTCCCAGGTTCGATCCTGGTCAAGGGCATGTACATTGGTTGCGGGCACATCCCCAGTAGGGGGTGTGCAGGAAGCAGCTGGTCGATGTTTCTCTCTCATCGATGTTTCTGGTTCTCTATCCCTCTCCCTTCCTCTCTGTAAAAAAAAAAAAAAAAAAAAAAAAAAAAAAAAGGACAATGTGATCTGTATATACTATAACTGAAGAATATCCACAACATACAAACAATACAAATATAATATGTAAAATGTTTGAATTTTCATAGCTTACATTTTTTAGAAAACATTTTATTTAAAAACAAACAAACATATTTTTAATTAAGAATATTAGAATTGTTTTCCATACTGTGTGGAGCTGCTGGCGTGATCTCTGCTTCTGCCACGAGACCAAATGGAAAAAGGTTTCAGCTCCTGCTAGCTGTTCCTTTCAGCAGACTTGTCAAAGTGATTGACTCCCACCTTCCTGAAGGTACAAAGAAAATTAGAGGATCTTCTCATCACTTTCAACTCTGCTAATTACAAAGTCAACTGTATTATGCTTTTAAGGTGCTCCATCTACTGATTTTCATCTTGATTTTTTTTTAATACCAGAAAGTTAAATTTTGAGCCAAAACATAAAAGAAAAACCTTTAGAGAAAAATTATGCAACTAAAGGACTAATTTTATTCCAACAATTTGTACTTTCTTAAGGTTATCATTTATTTGCTCTAGTAGGATGAATCCTGGATTAGGAGTCCAAAAACCTGAGTTATAGTTGTGGTTCTGTCACTAACTAGTTATAATAATTTAGCCACTTAACCATTTGTACTTATTTTCTCACTTATATAATAAAATAGGGAACAGATGAAAAAAGGACCAGGCAATGTCTAAGATTCCACCAAAATCTAAAAGTTTCTCATGTCCACATATACAAGTCTCATTTCAATAGATACATAGATGCAAAAATAGAAAAAAATGCAAACACAAATTTGATGACTGCTATAACATGTGGAAGGATTGAGAGGTCAAAGGGAGATTTTGGTATCATTTTACTTTTCCAATTGAATATTTATATATTACTAGTTTAACTAAAACCTAGTTTTCATACAGCTAATGATAAATTTGACCTATAATTATTTTCTAATGGAGAAAATGAGGGAAAGCTAATATTTTACATATTTCATATAAACAAATGAAAAGCTATAAGAAATAATTAAACACTAAACTCAATAATCTGGGAAATTCATGATAGTCTTTTTACTGTGAATTTTGCCTACCCCACTTCCTTCTAAACCACACCTGGAATTTTAGCTTTAGTTCATACCTTCTTACAGAAAACATTTTCGGAGTTACTATCATCACACAGCATTGAGCTAGAAAATACACCTCTATAAAATTTCTAAGAAATATATGATTTCTACACTCAAAGGATGTATAACCTTGCCAGAAGACAAGATTTAAAATACACACTACTATGAAAAAATGCAAAATGGCATGGACAATAAAGTACCAAAGAAAGAGTTAGAAGGGAAGTAATTTCAGAATTTGAAAATTAAAAGGGACTTACGTAATGCACAGCATGGTGATTATAATTAACAACACTGATTTTATACTTGAAAATTGCTAAGAGAATATATCCTAAAAGTTTTCATCACAGGGAAAAAAACTTTAACTATGTGAGGTGATGTTGTTAACTGAACTTATTTTATAACTAAAGGCCCAGTGCATGGATTCATGCACTGGTGGGGTCCCTCAGCGTGGCCTGCGGCAATCAGGTAAAAATCTGGCAATCCAACGCCGCCTGCTGCTCCTGCCTGCCACTCTCCCACTAATCTCAAGCCCACTGCACCTGCCGCAGGCTTGCACCCAGTCAGTCCCAATCAGGAGAGGCTTGCATCTGGTGCCCTCGGATCAGCTGAGCAGTGCTCCTGCTGTGGGAGAGCACTGACCACCAGGGGGCAGCTCCTGCATTGAGCATCTGACCCCTAGTGGTCACTATGATGTGCATCATAGTGACTGGTCATTCAGTCATTCAGGCTTTTAAATATATAGATCATAGGGCAATATGTACACATATCAAATCATTAAGTTGAGCATCTTAAGATAATAAAACTAAGGGGGGTAATAAATAAAAGAACTAATTAAACTTTATCTTAGAAATGAGATGGGACAGAAAGGAAAAATATTAAGTACCTATTATAAATCAGGCACTGAGAGATATTTACAGCTGTAATTTAACTTAATTCTATAACACAGATCTTATCCAAGAAACTAAGGTTTCTGTTGTATTTAAACATAGTGCTGCTAAGACTTTTTCTCTGATTTTACCAACAATTATTGTGAGAGTTCCAGACACTGGAGCAGGTTCCTCACTGAAGAGAAAAATAATTTCTCTGCCCAGTGACTGAGTTTTTATAACATTATTTCTTTAGGCAGAAGTAAGAAAGTTGACTTTTGGAAATTTCTTTCTTTTCTTTTTTTAAAATATATTTTATTGATTTTTTTTACAGAGAGAAAGGGAGAGAGAAATGTCGATGAGAGAGAAACACCAACCAGCCACCTCCTGCACATCCCCCACCAGGGATGTTCCCGCAGCCAACATACATGCCCTTGATTAGAATCGAACCCGGGACCTTTCAGTCCGCAGACCGACGCTCTACCACTGAGTCAAACCGGTTTCGGCTGGCAATTTCTTTACATAAAGTTTGTGGTTGTCAAGTACAAGTATCACAGACAGTGTGGTTAAGCAGCTACATTTCTGAGAAGCCCTTTCTGAGCCCCTATCCCCATTCTCACTCCAGCACCTGCTTGACCAAATGAAGAGTTCAATATATTTTCACTCTTGGAGGACTAAAGTTCAAAGTCATAAAGTAACTTAACCAAGTACAGAGAACTAAGAATGCTAGAACAAGGATCCAAACTAAGGTATATTTCCAAAGGCAATGATTTTTCCTTGTGTATGTTTTTCTACCACCTTTGTAATAAGACTTGCCCAGGGTTGGTCAGCAAATGGCAGAGCTCTCTAAATTCACCACGCCTTTTAATAGACATGAAAGATATGGACACTAAATGAGGATTTTGGTGCCGTGGCAAAAATAATTTAAGCCACCTTATTATCACAGACTTCCTTGATTCCCCAGCTGAATGGAAGAACATCAGAAATATCCCTGCGGACAAACCTCACAAGAAAAAACACACATACATCATTACTGCACACAAAAAGGACCAATATCCTTCACAACCACTGAAAACATCAATTTCTATGCCATACGACATCCAGAGCCACGGAGCTGGCTCTTCTGGGCTTCTCTCATATAATGTTCCAAAAGGGCTAGGAGCAAAACAGTACCATCCTACATACCGGTAGTAATCCTATGTAATAAAAGCCTGATAAGCAAATCGACCAAATGCAATGACAGAACGACTGGTCACTATGACATGCACTGACCACCAGAGGGCAGTCGCTCAATGCAGGAGCTGCCCCCAGCCAGAAGGCCCCAGGCCAGCCAAGGTGGGTGCCAGCAGGGACCCCACAATCATCCCGACCATCGCCCTGCAGAGGGAGGCTACTGGCAGCAACAGGGCAGACCAGTGAGCAGGCTGCCAAGGTGGATGCCAGTGGGAGCTTCCCCCCTTCCCCTGATCACTGGCCAGGCCTAAGGACCCTACCCATGCACAAATTTCATGCATCAGGCCTCTAGTATACATATAATGTTT